ACTCCTCGAGCACAAACACAAATATGCTGATCGGGTCAGTCGCACTGGTGCTCCTAAATATTGTTTCACATTCACACACAGTAGCTTTTAGTTACAAATGCGACTGAAATGGTCACACTGTAGACCAGGGGTTTTCAACCTTTTAGGACACGCGCCCCTCCAAGTTTGTCTAATTTCACTCGCTCGCATGATTCAATGTGATGGCTGAGCTTGTTTCTGAGATAACATGCCAATCCGTGGTTGGATTTCCGACACGGCTAACCGTAAATCATCTTACACTGTCAATAAGCGTGACTGATGCTCGAGGCTCCTGAAATTTATACAATAAAATCTTGCTTCATTTTACATTTCATAACACATTTTTTTCTGTTCTCCTACAGGACTGGAAGTCTGCTTGCTAACAGACTCCATGTGTCGAGATATTGAGGACTACCTACCAACTGCAAAATGCTGGGTACACCCAGGCACTACCCTTGTAAGATCCACTATGCAACACATAAACCACTTTAAGACAGTACTCGGCAACAGCATTGTTATCCTCCACATTGGAACAAATGACATTGCAAGTGGAGCATCCTGCATCAGTAGTCATGCAACGCATGAAAACTCTGATAACAAGAATCTCCCTCACAAATCCTCACATTCTTTACTTTGGAATCAGTGCTTATCTTACCACGTCCGACAGATGACTCTACAACTAAGAGCACAGTTAAAGAGTTCAACAACTTGCTCCGCTACTGGACTGAACAAACAACAGATACAATTTTTCTGAATACAAACAAACCATTCCTCAAAAATTGAAAAATACTCCATCACCTTTACAAACAAGCTGGCCTACATCTCACTCCACAAGGAAAACAAAGACTTTTTTGCCTACTTCCAGCGTTTCCACTGGCATTTTTGCCACTTTCCATCATCCTTAAAACATGTATTACTATGTAACATGGAAAAGTTTCAGAGCTGACTTGTTCCTTTTAATTACCCTTGACTTGTTACCTCTTCCTGAAAAATAAACTCATTTTCTATTTACAACACATCTGCCTTTTTCTTGAATTTCATTTTGCCTCCTAAGTAATCACTAAATCTCTACAACTATCAAATACAAGCTTAAAAATACACAACTTCACTATCTTTAATATATACGGTATAATTCCTTTCATCCACTACAACACATCACTTGCATATCAAGCCATGTCAAAACACACACACAAAAGTAGGAATAAATAAAACAATTCACCAAAATAATGTTTCGCTATGAAAAAGGAAGTTGCTATAACTCAAACATACAATGTCCAATCTGCCCCAAACTTCACATATTTAGTAAGATTTCTGGCCTGAAGACATCTAAAGGTCAATATTCAGATGTAATCATAGCGCCACCTGTTGACAACAGGATACGTCATGCTTTACACTAACTCAAACATACCATGTTCAGTCTCCACCGAACTTCATTTGTTTGATAAAAGTGCTGGTCTGAAGACATCTACATGCCAATGTGCAGTTATAGACAGTGCCACCAGCTGGCAGCACAAAGTTTGGCACATATAAATTACTTTGACATATTCTGTTTATATTTGCCTCTAAATATTTACATTTAGTCATTTTGCAGACGCTTTTATCCTAAGCGACTTACAATTGGGGGATACATAAAGCGATTCTTCTTAAAGAGGCAAACAGATACAGGAAGTGCTTGTAATACCAAGATCATAGACAGACCTGAGATCCAAAGTTGATAGTCCAGTATCCAGAGCACAAGTCCAATAGGCAGGCAGCAAACAACACGAGAAGAAGGCAGGCAGAGGTAATAACAGAAGGCAGTCCAATGTAACCGGAATAACGCTCAGAGATGTTCACCAAGGCAAAACAAGACTTCACAGTGAACCTGGGTGAAAGAGCTCATTAAATAGTCTAACGAAATGGGGAACAGGTGTAGGGGAATAATCAGTGACAGGTGCAGGGCTGATGGGAAATGTAGTGCGGGAAGGAAACTAATACTCTGGTGATGGGGCCCTCTGGTGGCCCGAAGGGAGAGTAACAGGAGTGCTCTCCGTGACAGAGCCCCCCCCTGCGAACGGCTCCGGAAGTGAGGAGGTGGTCGACGCCGGGGTCTTCCGCGTGGTCTGGGGGCCGGTCTCTCCGGATGGTCTCGGTGGTACTTCTCCATAAGGCTGGGATCTAGAATGTCGTCTGCATTCACCCAGGACCTCTCCTCTGGACCGTAACCCTCCTCAGTCGACCAGATATTGGAGAGTTCTCCCCTGGCGTCTGGAGTCGAGCAGTTCTCGCACCTGATAGACCTCCTCGCCCTCCACCGTTAAGGGTTGGGGACCCTGGTCCTCGGGTGCCTCCTCTCCTCCCTCACCGGGACCAGCAGCGGGCTTCAACAAGGAGACATGAAATGTGGGAGAAACACAGAAGTGATTAGGTAAGGCCAATTCAAAAGATACAGGGGTAATTTGCCGAACAATTTGGAAAGGACCTACGTACCTGGGACTGAGTTTACGGCATGGCAAACGGAGACAGAGGTCACGAGTGGATAACCATACCCACTGGCCAACACTATATTCTGGGCTGGGACGGCGATGCCGATCAGCCCAAATCCGCTGACGTCTTACAGCCTGCTGTAAATGATGATGAGCCTGATTCCAAGTCTCCTCACTTCTCTGAATCCAGTCATTGATGGTGGGATTGTTCGACAGTTCTCCTGACCAGGGAAACAGGGGTGGTTGATATCCCAGAATACACTGAAATGGAGTTAACCCCGTAGAGGGCTTGATATAACGACTCCAATCCTGTTGATTTTGACTACAATATGAACAAAGGAACCGGGAAAGCTCCTGGTTGAGTCTCTCTACCTGACCATTGGATTGTGGGTGGTAGCCCGAGGTGAGGCTTACATTGATCTCCAGTGCCTTGAAGAAAGCGGCCCACAGACGCGAGGTAAACTGGGGACCCCGGTCGGAAACGATATTCTCCGGTAAACCATAGAAGCGGAAGACTAGATTACATAAGTGTTCAGCCGTCTCCAGAGCGGTAGGTAACTTCGGCAAGGGGATGAGGCGACAGGCCTTAGAGAAACGGTCAATTACAGAAAGGATTGTAGTATGGCCATTGGAACTAGGTAGGTCGGTGACGAAATCTATGGCAATGTGTGACCAGGGGCACTGTGGGATGGGTAGCGGGTGAAGGAGTCCTGCTGGTAGTAGGTGGGATGGCTTCTGTGTGTTGCAAACCCTGCATTCGTGAATCAGACGAACAGTATCGCCTCTCAGTGAAGGCCACCAGAACCGGTTCTGAAGTAATTGGATGGTTGCATTAATACCTGGATGTCCTGAGCTGAGCGAAGCATGCACGTGCGTGATCGTTCTCTCTCGAAGAGGTACGGGAACAAACAACTTATCCTGGGGGCATTCGGCAGGGACGGTGTGTTCGGTATTCGCCTGCTCTATCTCGGTAATGATGTCCCACTGGATAGGTGACACGATAAGTGCTGGGGAGATTATGTGTTCAGGCCTATTGGAGTCAGAATCCCTCTCGAACTGCCGAGACAGGGCGTCTGCCTTTGTGTTCTTGGAACCTGGCCAGTAGGTAACAGAGAAATCAAACCTGGAGAAAAACAGAGACCACCTAGCCTGCCGTGGATTGAGTCTCTTAGCCGTTCTCAAGTACTCCAGGTTACGATGGTCGGTTAGAACCGTGAATGAATGTTTTGCCCCTTCCAGCCAATGACGCCATTCCTCGAGAGCAGCTTTAATGGCCAACAACTCCCTGTCACCAACATCATATTATTCACGCAAAAGCCCAGTGGAGAGAAATTAAGCACATGGAAACATCTTTCCAGGGGAGCCCCGACGTTGTGACAGCACTGCCCCGAGTCCGATATTGGAAGCATCAAACTCTACTATGAATGGAAAACTGGGGTCAGGGTGGTGTAAGATGGGAGCGGTGGTGAATCGTTGCTTCAATTCCTGAAAGGCCTCGCGGGCAGCAGGTGACCAGTGAAGACGACTAGAACCCCTCTTTGTCATAATTGTGAGAGGAGCAGCTACGGAGCTGAAACCTCTGATGAAGCGATGATAGAAGC